GGAAAGAGTATTAATTTGCAGGAAGGGCCATGTCTCTACTCGTAGGTGATCTGTTCAGAACAGTTCATTTCGTATTGTTTACTTTGGCAGATGATATGCATCACAGTGGAAAACTCAATTATGCCTTAGCCTTTTTCAAACAAAGGACAAAAGTTCTATTTATTTATGGACCATGGCATGACAATTGGGCCTATGAGCATCATTTTTGTTCTTTTCGTTCGTTTCTTTCCTTGTCGTGCTTAAATCTACAACTCCAAGTCTCCAAATTTATTTTCCTAATAAAAAACAAATTACGTGTTTATTTTAACTTATTATAAAAAGAATAACTATAGTTTTTTAATAATATATTATTAGACATTCAAGCTATCGGTGCATCGATCTCCAAGGAACATACAAAACCCTGTGGGCTGTTATGCAACTATCCTAGTCAGCATCCACGCGAAGAAAATATTTAGCAAGGAATAAGATCCTATGGCCTGATGTGACTTTCAAGAATGAAAGAGGTGATGAACAACATCGAGTTATGTTCATTTTAAACTGAAAATGAATTATCTTAACAGACAACATAGGATGATTTACGGCCATGAGATTGTATGATAAGGCATCAAGAAAGGGCTTTTCATCGATGTGCCTATGTTAGTGGACAACAAGAAATTAGTTGTCATGGAGAAGTTGCAATGTGTACTTTCTTTGGCACAAGTGTATGTCTTTGTAGACTTGGCAATGTCCAAGACTAGGTATTTCAACTCTTCGGGAAAGCTAATGAAGATGATAAGTGCTTAAATAGTTGTGGCTTAAGCTTAGTTTTCATTTTTTTATTTTTTTATTTTTTGTATTTATGAACTCTCATAAATTGGTTGGGTATTCAACTATTTGCTAAAATAGGTTTTTTTTAATATTTTTTTAAAATAGGATAGGTTTTTTTTAATATTTTTTTAAAATAGGTTGATTTATTCATTCGTCAACATTGAAGGTGAATTTTTTTATATAAAAGAGTGAACAATAAGATCAATGATAAACCTATATTATAGTGAAGATAAACAAATGCACTTCCGCATTTTAATTAAATTATTAATATATATTTAAAAATATTATATTTTATATTTTCTAATTTTATATATTGAATCAATCGATGATTGCTTTGGATATTTATGTTTTGCTTTTTTATATATATGATAATGATTATTAATTTTTATTTTTAAAAAAAAGTTGTGTCCATTAACTCCGGGTCTTGAATCCACCATCAAATAAGATATCAAAAATAATAATGAAACATGTAAGGATCGAAATAGACAGAAAAAATAGCAAAAGAAAGATAAATGACAATTTTTTTTTGTATTTAGTTGACACATTTCATAAATAAAAGAAACTGCCTCCTATATTCATCGTAACAAAAAGTAAAAATGTAAAACTAAGGTTAATTTTATGATTTATTCGACATTCATCGTTAAAATGAGACTTTTTACAGAAGAATCATTAATGAGGTAAAAAAAATGCACAATGGAATGATTGTAGTCGAATGAAAATGAAATTATATATATATATATATATATATATATTATTCTAATTAATTTTATTTTGAGATTAATTATCGTAATGGAAATATTATATTATATATATTGATCATAATTACCTTAATTATTTCAAAATATATTCTTTTTATAATTACCTAATAACTATATTTATATATTTTTATGAAGTATAAAAAAAATAAAAATAAAATAATATTAGGCGACATTTTAGTAGAAAAATAATCAATAATATGATATTTACTTGACAAATCTCTCTTTTATTAATATATAATACATTTGAATTGTAGGTGTGCGCGGTAATTTCTTTTCCTAATTAATAAAAATATATATAATATGTTGGGAAGTCTCATATAAATAAAATAACAAAAACAAATATGACTTATAAAATATACACATAGATTGAGATGTCTTTTAGGTAATGATCAAAAATAAAATCTTGAAAATGTAGATTCAAAATGCATAATATCTCATCATTATAGAATTATGGAGTTGTGTGTAAATTAATTTTATAAAAATAATTATTATAAAATATTTCTCAAATAAATATCATTAAAAAAACCATGAAAACGAGGATCATTCACTAAAATTATTAGAAAATTATATTTATATATACATGGTGTGATAAAGATAAACAATGCATTAAAAGGTGGGAATATATATAGCTGTCTGTCATGCCTTTATGAAGCAAAGTTGGTGAGACGGGAGATCACAGTTTCACACGCCAAAAATCAAAAGAAGTTATAATAAGGTGATTCATTGATTCAGGATATGGATGTCTTCAAATTTAGTCCTTATCCTCTATAGCGATAGAAGGGTATTAATTTTGCACGCTATAACGTTATCTAACAAACAATGACAAAAAGTTATGATTTAGTGTTATAATTGATAAACTTAAATAAACAATAATGCTATTCAGTTCGTCATTGGTAATCCTATATATAAAATCACTCAAACTGTTAAATGTAACTGCTCGAATCAGTTGATATCATAATCTACAACTGATCATGTGAGATTATACATAGATGAGCTCCCTTAATGAAGGCCTATTCCATTTCATAAAGTAGAGAAGAGATAATGTTCATCTTTCTTCTTCCTTTATTTTCTTAATTTCTATAACCGATGAGAAGGCAAAGCAAGTCTCTCTAGCTAGAAATGAACGTGAAGGAAATCATGAATGGTAGTGGAGCTGGAAACACAAATTGGGTTGTTAAGGAAGATGTCAACAATGATGTGAGCGATTCAATATTCAATAATGGATCAATCTCAGATGATTCAATGAACTCTGTGTGTTTATATTCTTCATCAAAATTGGCTGAGGATGCATCATCCTCTTCAACTTCTTATTTATCAGCCTCATCATCTTCATCAACACATTCAAATAACCCTTTGTTTGAATTATCAGAGCTGATGAATCAACTCCCATTAAAGTAAGCAATTTCATGCATGATGCATTTAAAAAAAAAAAAAAAAAAAAAAAAAACTTTTACTAATTTTCTTGTTTGAAAATTAATGTTAGGAATTGGTTTAAGTTGGTGCGTTAACATAGTTTATATATCACGTGTGCAGGAGAGGCTTGTCTATGTTTTACCAAGGGAAGGCTCAATCTTTCAGTTCTCTAGCGAACGTGGAGAGCATAAAAGATCTTCCTAAGAAAGAGAAACCTTACAGGAAGAAAATCAAATCATGCAATAGCCATACAATAGCAAAGAAAGCTTCAAGAGGAACTTTTGTATCTGTGCTAGCTAAAAGGAGAGAGTTTCCTTGGAGGGTCTAGACCTTCCTTCTGCACATATATAAAAACTTTTGAAATCCAATCTTGTTAATTAGAGAGCTTGATATTTCATGCACAAAATGGGGAAAATTTTGAATCCCCCTCGTCTTCAGCTCTGACATAAAATCATATATATTATACGCATATGATTCAATGATTCATCAATTAGTTTCATTACTACCGTACTAAGTTTTTCATGGTAGTATAGAATCTTGGCCCATGTTTCATTATTAATTACTAGTATGGTATGAAGATTGCTAATTAGCACATGTATGAGAGGGATTATCAGGCAATCGTTGTTCGTAGGAGGATTATAAAAAGCAATTATATGTGGGAAATTAATTCAAACTACGATCGAGATCATGAAAAAATCAGTTAATGATTTGAGCTCACACAACATAATGAATATATTGTTTTAGGTTTATTAATTAGTTGTATTGATCACTTCCAAACATATCTCCATAAAAATTGAAGCATGAATGTAAATGGGAAATTACCACAACCAGCTAAGCTGACACCTAAATAATCAGCAACACTATAGATCCGTTAAAAAAAATTATCTTGTTTTTATTATGATTCGTTATCATCATAGGATGTGAAGGCAAATATAATCGCAAAAAATACGTACCCACTTTAGTTAATTACAACTTGATTTATTAAATGTGAAATAAGATGAATGTCAACATTTCTTCTGATACTCACTTACTACCCCTCCGTCTTCATTATTATTTGATATTTATTGAAAATAACAAATTTTTGTAAATATTAAAAAAAGGGTATTATGAAAAGGGTTAGACCAACTAAATTAAAGTTTGAATCCTTACGGGGAGTAATACTCATATTTAATAAGAAAATAAAATATACCAAACCTTCTTCAAGTTTTAAATCCTTCAAAAAGCCTTCACCTTATACATGTACAGGCACATAATGTTTGCAAACTTATCTAGACATTGTTGCATAATTTTTTTTTCTAGTTTTTGACAACATAAAAATATGTAAGCTTGCATAAGCTGATCCTGCTGAGCTATTTCTCCTAACCAAATCC